CCCCCCCGTGTGAACCTCCAGATCCCACATGCAGCCCCCAAGCCCCTGTGCATGGGGTGGGATCACCTCCCAACAGTGAGCCCCGGCCCCCCTGTCCAGCCCCCAAAACCCAACCCCAGCCTGAAGACCCCCCATGGGCAGACCCCAAACCCCCCCAGCCCATTTACAGCCCCCCCCGGGCAGCCCCCAAAGCCCATCCACAGCCCCCAGACCCCACAAACATCCCCTCCATGGGGAACACCCAGATCCCTCAGGCAGTCCCCAGTGCCCCCCCTCAGCCCTCCACCCTCAGCCCCGCCCACAGCCCCCCAATTCACAGCCCCCAACCCCCCCTGGGCAGCCCCCCACGACCACCCCCCATGGGGAGTCCCCCCCAGAGTCCTCCCATCACCCAGAGGCTCAGCCCCCCCCGGCCCCCTCCCCTTGGTGACCCCCCAATACACTCACAGTGTGAGGAGCCCCCCCCGGGACCCCCCGGAGGGTCCGGTGGTCCTTCCAGGGGCAGCGGAGGGCGCGGGAGGGGTCGGGCCCCTCCTGGCGCAGCACCTGAGCCACGAGCGCGGGCTCGGCCACGTGAACCGTGAGCACCGGCCCGAACCGGGCCTTCCAGAGCGGCCCGAACCGCGCCCGGCCGTGGACCTGGGGGAAACGGGGAGGGTCACACCGGCCCCAGCGGGGCTCCCACGGCGGCCCCAACTGGGACCGGCACCCGGTTCGGGGGCACGGGAGGCTCGGGGGCACCGGGGGTCGCACAGACCCGGCCTCGGGCTGGGGGGCACCGGGGGCGCACCGGGAGGTCACACCGGGGGTCCTTGAGCAGGGAGGGGTCGGACAGGATCGGCTGCAGCGCGGGCCGGGGGGGGTCTCGGTCTCCCCGCGGTCCCCGGCCCGCTGTGCCCCCCGGGAGCACGGGGGGGGCACCCTCGGCACCCCGTCCCCGGTGCCGCTGCCCCACCCCCGGCACTGAGGAGACACCGGGAGCTGGTCCTGCCCCTGCGCAGCCCCGATCCCAACCCCCCTCACACCCTGCGGATCAGTTTGGGGTCCCCCGACCCTCCCCCAGCCCTGGGGCAGTGAGGGGGGGCCCCTTTGCCCCCCTCCCATGCCCCAGGGATTGAAATCGGGGTCTCCCCACACCTTGGAGTGTGGAGGGACCGCGGTGCCTCCCGTCCCCTCCAGGACTCGAGGGGGTGGGTCTGGGGTATCCCGTGTCTCCTCCAAGCTCCAGGTCGGTGACCCAGAGCCCTCCCAGCCCCTCCGTACCCTCCCCCAGGACAGCAGGACCAGGACCCCGCCGGGCCCCACCGGCTCCAGAGCAGCACGAAGAGGGTCCGTCCCCCCCCCCCCCAGCCCCCAGTGGGGGCAGCAGGGGCTCTCCGTCCCTTCCAGTGGGATTGGGGTCCCTATGTCCCCTCCAAGCCCTAGGCGGTGGGATCAGACCCCCGGGCAGTCCCCAACCCCCCCAGCCCACAGCCCCCCCACTCATAGCCCCCTCGCCCCCTGGGCAGCCTCCAAACCCCGTCCACAGCTCTCAGATCCCCACAGGGAACACCCAGACCCCCCGGGCAGCCCCCCATGGGGAACACCCGACCCCCCGGGCAGCCCTCCATGGGGAGCGCCCTGTGCCCTCCAAGCCCCAGATGGGGGTCTCGCTGTCCTTTCGCCCCCTCCAAGCCCCAGGGCAGAGAGCCCCGCACCCCCAGCCCAGAGGGGCTGCCTGTCCCCTCTCCCCGGCCCCATTACCTGCATCTCGTGCAGCCTCCGCACCCCCCCCCCGGCACAGCAGCTCGAAGATGAAGGAGGAGGAGCTCGGCCCCGGCATCTCCGCCAGGCCCCGGGGGCGTGGGGGGGCCGGGGGACGCCGCGGGACCCCCGGCTCGGGCAGGGAGTGGGACAGGACAGCCCGGAATGGGGGGCGCAGGGTGGGGGGCATGGCGGGTTGGGGGGCTCGGGTGGCACCGGGGGACACGGGGCAATGCGGGTGGCACTGGTGGTACCGGGTGACGCGGGGGCGGCGGGGGGGACACGGGTAGCGCTGGTGGCACCGGAGGGAGCGGGGGACAGCAGGGGAGGGTCGCGGGGGGGATCTCCGGGGGCGTCTCGGGGCCGATCCTCGACTGAGCCGCGGCCCCGGGGCCGGGCCTTTATAGTGCCCACGAGGAGCCGTCGGGGCCACGCCCACTCTGCCAGGACCACGCCCCCAAACCATCAAACCCCGCCCCGTTCGCCCGAAACCCCGCCCATTTCATAATTAGACACGCCCCATGGGCGCTAAGCCCCGCCCATCTCCGAGGGTTGATTTGTATGCTGGGTCCCCTCGGTCCAATCAGCGCCAGGAGGAGGCGGGGCCTCGGCGGAAAGCTCCGCCTCCCTCCCTGAGTGGGCAGAACGGTCCCGGACCCCCCAAAAAAACACCAAATCCCCCCCCCAAACCCACCCTCCCAGTCACAAACTGGTCCCAGTACGCCCCAAACTGGATGTGCGGCATTTGGGGTTGGGGGGGTGCCTTCCCACGGGGGGGAGGGGACACGCAGTGGCCCCGCCCAGTCCCACCGGTGCACCCCAGTCCCGGGGAGGGGCTGGTCTGACCCCCCCGGGACACACGCACGGCGGTTCCCCCCCACCCCGTCCCGCATTCCCGGGAATTTCCACCTTGCGCCACCGGGCGGGGCCTCTGGAAACCCCCCGCGTGGGGAAGGGGGGGGGTCACTGGGGTCCCCCCAAGCCCCCGGGGGTTTCCTGCGATGGGGAAACTGAGGCAGGAACCGGCCCCGCCCTCCCCATTTTTTTGGGAAGGTGCAATTCCCGGCAGCTGCCGTGGGGCGGGGGAGGGAGGAGTGACATTCCCCCCTCCCCAGGGGGATTTTGGGGTGGGGGGGTTGGAAACACGAGGCTTGGGGACACTTTGCAGCTTTATTAAAAAATGGGGGTTGTGGGGGAGGGTCCCCGGGGGCTCGCGGGGGTCCGGCCCCCCCCGGCCCCTCAGGGCCCCCCCGGGGGGGGGTCGTGGCGGCGGCGGAACACGGCGGTGCGGGGGGGCCGCCCGGCCCGCTGGGCCCGCTGCCCCTCCTCCGTCACCGCCGGCAGCAGCGGCAGCAGCGGGTCCGTGGCCTGGGGGGGCACAGAGGGGCTGGGACACCAGGGACAGCAGGGACCCCCCCGGGGACACTAGGGAGCCCCCCAGGACACCAGGGACAACCTGGAAACCCCCTGGGGCATCGGGGACACAAGGACCCCCCAGGGACAATGTGGGGACCCCCCAGATACACCAGTGACACCCTGGGGACATCCCAAGGGGCATTGGGGGCACCATAGACCCTCATGGACACCTAAAACAACTTGGGGACACCAGGGACCCCCCAGGGGCATCAGGGATCCCTCCAAGTACCCCCCCCACTGACCCCTCTGTGACTTCCCCTTGTCCCCCAGAAGCCCCCTATTACCCCCAGTCAGTTCCCCAGTGACCCCCAGTGCCTCCCCCAACGTTCCTCCCCCACTCCTGTGTCCCCAGTTGCCCCCCAGTGCTCCTCCATAACACCCAGTGCCCCCCAGTCAATCCCCAGTGCCCCCCTGTGTTCCCCAATCCTCCCCCAGTGCCCCCCAGTGCTCCCCAGTGTCCCTCACCAGCTGGGCAGGGGGCAGGGGCTCGAACAGGGGGTGCTCCCCGAAATGATGCAGCATCCACTGGTGCAGCTCAGGGACATCTGTCACCGTGTACACCAGGCCCTGGACCCCAAATCAGGGACACCCCATATCAGGGACACCCCCAAATCAGGGATACCCCAACCCCCCCCTCCGTGTACACCAGCGCCCCCCCCCCCCCCCCCCCCCCAGCCCCGCCCATAGCCCCAAAATCAGGGACACCCCAAAACCCCCCAATCCCAGCAGGGCTGGACCCCCCTCCCCCCCAGCAATGCCAGGGGATCCTGGGGGGGGGGGTTGGCACCACTGGGGGGTCAGGGTGGCTCTGGGGGCTCAGGGAGGGTCAGTAGGGGTGTGGGGGCTCACCCCAGGGTACAGCACGTGAGGGGACATGGGGGGGGTTGGGGAGCCCGGGGGGGTCAGGGTGGTTGTGGGGGGGTCAGCAGGGTCTCACCCCAGGCCGCAGCACGAAGCCGTACTCTGCCAGCATCGCGGGGCTGATGATTCTCCACTTGTGCTTCGTGCGCTTGAAATGGGGGTCGGGGAACAGGAAAAACAACTTGGAGAGCTGGGGGGGCGGGGGTGGAGGGGTCAGAGGGGCAGCACCCCACTGGCACTGACCCCCCAGACCCCACACGGACCCCTTGAGTGGGGGCAGGACGAGGCACCCAGGGAGGGGGCACGGGGGGACTGGGGGTGTTCCTGGGATGTGCAGAGGGTACGGGGGGATCCTGTCCTGGAAAGGGGGTTCTGGGGGTCTCAAGGTTGGAAAGAGTCCTAAGGGTCCTGGCTGGGGCTGTTGGGTGGGGATGTTGGGGGGTCCCAGGGGTGGGGGGGGGTTGAGGGGTCTCAAGGATCCTACATGGACCCTGTGGAAGAAGTGGGGCAGGGGTTCCCCGGGGGTTGGGGACCCAGAGGGGTTTCAGGGGGGGTTCCCAGGGACACAGATGTTTCAAGGGGTGTTGGGAGGGTCCCGGGGGTCCCACCTGTGCCCTGTGGAAGAAGTGGGGCAGGTGTTTCATGGCGTTGCCCCTCACACAGGCCACATTGCCGAAGTGGCCGGGCCGGGCCGCCCGGAGCGCCCGGAGCCGCGCCCGCGTGAACGCGGCCACCTTCCCTCGGAGCTCCAGCCCCAGGGCCAGGGTCTGGGGGAACAGCTCTGCCAGGGCCACTGCGGGGGACACGGGGTCAGGGACACCCTCAAAACACCCCCTGGCACCCCGTAAACCCAAGGGGGGCCCTGGGTCAGGGACCCCCCCCGGCACCCCCAAACACCCTGGGGGGGCCACAGGGTCAGGGACACCCCAACACCCCCCCCAGTGCCACTTTCCCCTTCAGCTCCACCCCCAGGGTCTGGGAGCTCAGCTCGGAGGGGGCTGGGACAGGGGGGGCAGACCCCCAGGGATCTCCCTTGCAACCCCTGGCCCCCCTGTTCCCCACTTGCCCCCCTCCATCCCCCCTCCCCCAAGACCTCCCCCTACATGCACTCCCCAGGGACCCCCGTCCCTCCCCCGGTACCCTCCCCTGCCCCTCCTCAGGCCCCCTTCGCTCACCGAGCAGCCCCCCCCGTACCCATAGAGACCACCGGGTCCCCCGTTCTCACCGAGCAGCCCCCCCGTACCCACAGACCCCCCCCGGGTCCCCCGTTCTCACCGAGCAGCCCCCCCGTACCCACAGAGCCCCCCCGGGTCCCCCGTTCTCACCGAGCAGCCCCCCGTACCCGCACCCCACGTCTGCGAACTCCACGCGGGCCGGGGGAGTCCCGGGGGGGGCGTCGGGCGGGAAAAACGCCGGGAACAGCGAGGCCCAGTCCATGTCCTGCGGCCGGGGGGGGCTGCGGGGGGGCACCGGCGGTCAGGGGGGCCCCGGGGGGGCCGTTACCGCGGAGGGGGCACCGGGGGGCCGTGATGGGGGTCCCGACCCGGGGGGGCGGTTCCCAGTACCCGGCCCGGGTGTTACCGGGGGGGCCCCGGGAGGGGATGGAGCACGAGGGGGGGCCCAGCCCGGGTGTTCCGGGGGGTCCCGGTGACCGGTGAGACCGTGAAGGGGGTTTTGGGCCGGGGGGTCCCGGAGGGTCGCTCGGGGGGTCCCGGGAAAGGATGGAGGACGAGCGGGGACCCACCCCGTGTGTCCCGGGGGGGTCCAGGTTACCATGGTTACGCACGGGGCCGTGATGGGGGTTCCGGTACCGTCCCGGGTGCTAACGGGGGTGGTCCCGGGGGATCCCGGGGGTTTTGCGGTGTCCCCGTAACTCACTAGCGCAGGGTGTGATCTGCCAGCGGGTTCGAGTGCGCGCGCTGGCGGTAAAAGCGCTTCTGGGGAGGTACCGGCGCCTCCTCCTCCTCCCCCCCCTGCGCCGCCATCGCGGCTCCGGCGGCGCGCGAATGACGTCACGGGTGGGCGCTGAATACTGACGTCACTGTACACTGCGAGCCACGCCCACCGATGCTCCACAGCGCCCCCTGGCGGCCCCAGTCCTCCCAGTGCCTACCAGTTGCCCCACTGCTTCCCAGTGTCCCCCCGTGCTCCCAGTATTCCCAGTTCCTTCAGTGTCCCTCAGTCCTTCCCGTCTTCCCCGTCTCCAGTCCCACCAGTGCCCCCAGTATCCCCAGTCTCCCCAGTCTCTCCCAGTGTCCCCAGTGCTCCCAGTGCCCTCCCAGTGCTCCCCAGTGTTCCCAGTGCTCCCAGCGCTCCCCCTGGTGCTCCCAGTGCCCCTCAGTGCTCCCCAGTGCTCCCAGTGCTCCCAGTCCCCCGTGCTCCCTCAGTGCTCCCAGTACCCCCAGAGTCCTCCCCAGTGCTCCCCAGTGTCCCCAGTCCTCCCAGTGCCCCCCAGTTGCCCCCCTGCTTCCCAGTGTCCTCCCGTGCTCCCAGTCTCCCCAGTCCCTTCAGTGTCCCCCAGTCCTTCCCGTCTCCCCCGTGTCTCCAGTCCCACCAGTGCCCCCAGTATCCCCCAATCTCCTCAACTGCCCCCCGTCTCCCCAGTCCCCCCACGCCCCCAGTTCACCAGTCCTCACCCATCAGTCCCGTCCCTCCAGTACTCCCAGTTCCCCCACCGCCCTCAGTCCCCCCAGTGACCCCAAGTTCCCCCAACACCTCCAGTCTCTCCAGTCTCCCCCAGTCCGACGCCCCAGTCTCCCCAGTCCTCCCAGTCCCATCCCCTCCCACACCCTCCCCCGTCCTCGTAATCCCCCCAGCCTTCCCGGTCCCATCCCTCCCCCCGTCTTGCAATCCCCCCAGCATTCCCAGTCCCATCCCTCCCCGTCCTCGCAATCCCCCAGTCCCATCCCTCCCCCGGGCTGTTCCCGCTCGGGGTCATTTGGGGAATTTGGCTGCGGCGAAACCAGGGGCGATTTCTGGGAACCCCGGAGGGTGTTGGGGGGAATCGGTCTGGGGAGGGAACCGGACCTGCCCAGCCCGGGGGGGCTTCCAGGAACGGCCCCGCGGGGGGAGAGTCCGGGGGGGGCGGGGAGGGGGGGACACGAGAACCAAACCCTCCCCCACTCTCCTCCTCTGGGCTCCCCGACCCCCCCCGCCCCTCCCTGACCCCCCCGGGTCACCATTAACCCGGTGACGCGGGTGGTGACGCGGCCGCGTGGGGGGTCCCGGGGGAATCCAGGGACACTCCGGGGGGGTTCGTGGGGAGGGAAGGTTGTTCATTACCCCGAGGGATCCCCCCGGGTTACTCCCTGCCACCCCTCCCCCCCCCCCCCCGGTTACTGGTTATCCCAGTGATCCCGGTGATCCCAGCGCGGGTGGCACTGGGAGCAGGGCTCTGGCACCGCGGAGATGGCACTGAGGGGGCCCCGGGGGGGCTGGCACAGCAACCCTCTCCCTGGCCAGGAACAGAGGGACAGGGACACCGGTGACAGCAGGGACAGGGGGGCAGGAAGGAGGGACATTGGGAATGGGATAGCTGGGACAAGAAGTGCATAAGGGACACAAGGGCCAGGGACAAGCAGGAGCCAGGGACACCAGGGACAGGGGGATGGGGCCAGGGACAACCAGGGACACCAAGGACAGGGACTCTTGGATCAGGGACATCACGGCCAAGGCCACCAGGGCCAGGGACACAAGGGATTGGGGACATGGGACCGGGGACACCAGGATCAGGGACACTAAGGAAAGGGACATGGGGCCAGTGACACCAGGGGGAGAAGGACAGGGGGACAGGGGCACTGGAGTCAGGGACACGGGGACAGAGACACCCTGAGCAGGGACACCAGAGCCTTGGGGACACTGCAGACACGGGCTGGCTCTGGGCCGTGGTGGCACTGGTGGCACCGGTGACACTGGTGTTGATGGGACAGTGACAGGAGCAGGAGGGGACAGAGGGTGGCATCGGGAAAAAACCCCAGAGGGAGGGGGGGGGTCTGGCCGGGGTGACATGGGGACAAGGCTGGGGGGGGGGTGACAACGGTGACAGGACTGGGGACACTGGGATGGGTCAGGGGACACTGGGAGACACTGGGGAACATCAGGATGGGGAAGGGGACAGTGGGACCGGGCAGGGGACAGAGTTATGGGGCAGGGAACACTGGGATGGGGAGGGAGCAGGTCAGGGGACAGGAGGGACACAGCAGGAGACATTGGGACGGATGGGACGTGGGGCAGGTGACACTGGGGGACAACGGGAGAGGGGAGGGGACACCGGGTGACACCAGGGTGCGGGAGGGGACACTGGACCCCCTCGGGCACGGCGGGGGCGGGACGAGCGGGGACAGGGGCGGAGCTCCAAAACACCGCCCCCAGGAGAGGGTGTGGCTTAGCACAGACCAACCAATCACGTGCGGAGGTGCGACCCGGCCCCACCCTTTCCAAGATGGCGGCGCCCACGGGCCACGTGGGGCCCGGGGGAGGGGGTGAGGAGGAGGAGGAAACGGAGGAGGAAGAGGACGAGGAAGAGGAGAAGGGGCTGCGGGCCGTGTTCCCCCGCGACCCCGAGCTCTTTGCCGAGTCCTTCCCGGCGCGGCGCCGGTTCCGCCTGTGCGGGCGCGTCCTGCGCATCGCGGAGCTGCACGGGCCGGGGCTCGGCACGGCCGGGAGCGTCTGGGAGGCGGTGAGGGGGCACCGGGGGGGGGGGCTGAGGGGCGGGCGGCACGGCGGGGGCTGGGTGAGTCCCGGGGCGCGTTGTGGGTGGGGGGATAACGGGAGTACTGGGGGGTACCGGGACATCCCGGGGGACCCGGGGGGCGGTGACATCCCGGAGGTACCGGAGCGGGCGGTGACATCCCGGGGAACCGGAGGGTGGGTGGGGACTTCCCGGGGCACGGGGGCTGGTGGGGACATTCCGAGGGTACCGCGAGTGATACCGGGGGGTACCGGGAGCTGAGGGGGTCCGGGGGAGTCCGGGGAGGACACACGCGGCATCCCGGGGGTACCAGGAGGGTGGGGCGGCGATGGGGAACGAGAAAACGGGGGTACGGGGGGGCCAGGGGGGGTGGGGGCGGACCTTGAGGGGGCACCCTGAGGAGGACGGGGGCACTGGGTGGGGGGTTCCCTAAGGATTCCTATGGCCGGGGCGTGCTGTCCCCCACCCCACTCCCCCTGTGCCCCCCCCAGGCCCTGTCCCTGTGCCGGTTCCTGGGGGAGCAGCGCCTGGACTTGGGTGGGCGGCGGGTTCTGGAGCTGGGGGCGGGCACCGGCATCGTGGGGATCTTCGCTGCCATGCTGGGTGCGGGGGGGGGGGGCACCGGGGGGGCCCGGGGGGGGCCCGGGGGGGGCCAGTGGGGGCACCGGGGAGGGGGGGGGGCACTCATGGGGTTGGGGCGGAAGTTTATGGAGGTGGAGAGGGCACCTGAGGGGTGAGGGGAGGCATCTGTGGGGCTGGAAGGGGACACCCTTGGGGTTTGGGGGGGGACAGCCGTGGGGCTGAGGGGCACCCATGGGTTTGGGGGGGTCCCTGTTCCCCTGCCCAGTACAGAATTTGGAACTGTTGTGAGCAGCAGGTTTATTGGGGTCTGGGGGCTCCACGGGTGGTGCTCCCCCCCCCTTCCCTGGAGTTTATTGGGGTCTGGGGGCTCCGGGAAGGGTTTTGGGAGGTGCAGTGGGGGTGACCCCCATTCTGACACGGGGCTTAAAGGGGTCTTTTGGGGATGGTTTATTGAGGTCCGGGGGTTCCCGGTGGGTTTGGGGGGGTCCACTGGGGATGGCTCTACTCTTACCCGGGGTTTATTGGGGTCCTGGAGGGGGTCTCGGTGTGGTGCACCCCCCTCTGTCCCGGGGTTTATTGGGGTCTGGGGGTTCCAGGGGGCTTAGGGGTGCCCCGCTCTGACCGCCCTGTCCCGGGGCAGGGGCGGAGGTGACGCTCACGGACCGTCCGGCGGCGCTGCCGCAGCTGCGGGAGAACGTTCGGCAGAACTTCCCGGGGGGGTCCCCCGAGGGGGTCGCGGGAGGGGCCCCGCGGGTGCGGGCGCTGCGCTGGGGGCGGGACCAGCGCCGCTTCCCCCCCAGATTCCACCTGGTGCTGGGCTCCGACATCGTGTACGACCCCCGTGCCTTCGCCCCCCTCCTGGGCACCCTCCGGCACCTCGTGGTCCCCCCGGGCCGGGCCCTGCTCAGCGCCCGCCGGCGGGGGGGGGACGCGGGGACCTCCCGTTTCTTCGGGCAGATGTTGCCCCCGTTTTTTCGGGTGCAGCTGCTGCGGAGAGACCCCGAGGGGGACATCGAGATCTATGGGCTGACCCCCCGGGAGGGGGGTGGGGAGGGGGAGCAGCTCACGGGGGTCTGGGGAGGTCCCGAGGGGGATTAAATGGCCTCGAGGGGCCTCAGATCAGCGCGTTGTGTGAGATTTGGGGGAGTTTGGGATTTGGAGGGGTCGGGGTGGGGGTCCCGGGGGGGTGGTTTCTCTGCTGGGTGGGGGG